TGTGGCAGATGCTGCAGTGAAAGGGGGTATGGTGCGTACGCAGGAGCTGGTGGCTGCCTGCGTGCACGTGGCCCACACGAGGCGAGTGGGCCCCACGCAGTCCCAAAGGCACTGACCACAGCGCGCCTGCATACAGTGAATCTGGGAGGCCTTTGGCGTTCGCTATAGCCGTAGTGAATATTCGCTGTGGCGGGGTGGATTTGTGTGGCGAGCGATTGGGGGTAGCGGCGGCGTTCGCTATAGGCAGGGTTTTCGCTATTGCGGGGTTCGCTGTAGCGAGGGAAGACTGTACCTGGTGTCACGTGCATGGCCACTTGCCCATTTGCGTGCTGCCCACTTGCCCATTTGCGTGCTGCCCATTTGCGTTTCCAAGGGGCTCACGTCTGACGACAACAAATCATGGCTTGTGGATTATTTCTATGTCTTCAGTCACAGGCGAATCCACTGAAATTCTATATGATGCCTCGGCCAGCTGCAGTCTGCTCTAACACAGAGGGATAGGGATATCGAAATTGGAATTACAAATGTTGGGGGACCAGTGCCAGAAGCCATTGATACCATGCATCAGTCACTTTTCCAGTGAAGAGTGCGGTCAATGGCTGTGGCGTCGTGCCCCTGCTAAGGGGCGGCCCGCCCACCCAGCACGCTACTTTGTGATGAGTGCTACTGCCGGCGTGCGTTCGCTTGCACACACGCCTCGTGAGCAGCAGTAGCTGCAAATTGCCGAACGCGTGCGCCGGGGCTTTGGAGGCACCTCTATGCTGCTGTCGCTGCACAAGAAGAAGTAACGCAGCAGCCTGCCGCCGCAGCCGTCAGGGATCCTTGCCTGGTCATCCCCGGGTCACTCTCGACCCCCCCATCCCATGTGCTCTACAGCATCAAACGCCCTGCCCCGGCGCATCCCAGGGCTGCGCCAAGGAATGTGGAAGCTACTTCTTCAGGTAAAGCTGGAAGAAGACAGCCGCCAGGATCAGCAGCAGCGGGATGAGCAGCCCGAATGAAATGCCCGAGCCGGCGCCACTGCTGCTGGAGGCCGCTGCCTTGGCTGTGATTGGCGCCGAGTCGCCGCCCTGTCACGGGTTGCAGGTGTGCCATTCGCTGTGATTAGGTGCAAGCACGTAGGGACAGGCTAACGAAGCAGCAACGGGCGTATGCCAAGCCGCACAACGTGTCAAGGCCCCCCTGCGCATCAGGAAACCGCATGCACTGCTGCCTGCAACCATGCCTTGAGCAATCCTGTTGCGACATAGCCTGTTTGTATGGGCCCATCGCGCGCTCAGACCTAAGGCTCAGGCATACAACAAAAGCCATGCGCCCCATTGCTGCTGCGCAGCTGATCGCAGGGCTGCTGCTGGGCCCAACACTGTGCACAACCGACGCGCGGCGCCGGGGCACTCACTGCGTACTCGCCGATTTGGTACTTGTTCAGCATTTCCCGTGCGCTGTTGCTGTGCCCAATCTCCTCAAAATCCTGGGTGGCGTCCTTGCCTGCAAGCAACCCCGCCAGAGACGTGCCTTAGCGCCCGGTTCAAGCGAGCACGGCAAGGCAGCCCGCGAACAGAGTGGCCACGCTCAAGCCCCTCGCCGCACCTGATGACGTGAGAATAACATCATAGCCACCCGGGTGCTCCTCCAGGAAGGAGGTCACATCATAGACTTTGCCTGCGGGCGGGGGCGCCGGGGCAGCTGTTCAGCGACAGTGCTGCTGTCTGGCGAAGCCTCTCGTCCGCCCCGCGGCCCTGCTGGCCCCCTGCAAGCTATAACTCTTGTTGTTGGTCATGTAGGCCCACCGTGCACGACCAGCCAGCAGTCCTTGTCCGAGACATGCTGCTTGCAGTCGTCGATGGTGTAGGTCACCATGGCGAAGCTGTGCTGATCGCTTGCGGTGCACGAAATGTATAATTGCAGTCTGGTGAGGTGCGTGGCAGCCGACTTTGCCTTTGCTACCGTGCGGTACACCAGTCTCACCGCAAGGAGTGATTGAGTGAGCACGAACCAACAACACTGTACGTCGTTCATCATTACCGTAAAAGCAGCACGACGACAACTTTAGTCCCGACCACATGTGCTACCTACGAGCGTAAGTCGCGCGATGGCCGCGACGCGTCGACGATGGCCGGCTGTCGGCCTGTCTTTGGCCATTCTGGTCTATGGGCACTGACAGGAGCCAAGGCTGCCGTCGTTGAGCAGGGTACCGTGTGCATGATGTGCATCTCGTCCATGCGCGCATTGGTTACAATCCAAGGCACCGCCCACAGTCGTCAGTGTCAGAAAGCCCCTGGGGTAATCCAGTGTTGGCTGCTCGTCATGTAAGTAAGATTCGCTCTGGAAAAATGCATGGTGTCAAAAACTGACGAGCAGGTGGATGATTGGCGCGGGCACCCAACTTGCCCACTTCAACCAGGCGCAGCCTGTGCAGGCCCTGGAATGCACCACCTCCAGGGCGCTTGCACTGTGCGCTGTGCAGTGTGCACAGTGGATGCTGGCGGGAGCGACAAGGCGCTTCGCATGGCGTAGTGAATGTACGCCATGAAATTCACCCAGCAGAGCCTTGCGTGTGTGCTAGTTTGTGCAGATCACAGTCAAATTTGTTGACATTACAGTATGCGCGACCTGCAAAAAAGCAAAGCACCTGCCAGGAGGGGAACGAAGGTGTGTGCACGGCGACCACGGCGCTGCCGGCCACCACCGCCCCAACCCTCAGCCGCCCCACCCATTGTCACTGTTCCCGCCCTGCTCGCCGCCCTGCCTGGGCACATGCTGCCGTCGCCGCGACGGCAACCGCGCCTCCAGCTCTCTGATTGCCTCATCCAAAGTGTCGGGTGCAAGGGCGGCACTGCCCTCAGCCGCCGGCGCCGCCCCAGCCGCAGCGCTCAAACGCGCCTCGGTAACGTGGTCGCGCCAGTGCTCCTCTTCCCATTGTTGCTCCTCCTGCTGCTGCTGCTGCTGCTGCTGCTGCTGCTGCTGCTGCTGCTGCTGCCCTCCCACCTTGGCTGGGCCCCACCCCGCCCCTGCCGCCCCAGCACCACTTTCTCCGCTGCCGCTGGCCTCCTGCAGCGCCTCCCGCTCAACACGTTCGATCGCGGCTGCGACAGACGCCTGGTGGGGCGGCAGGTGGTCGTGGCGGAACTCGAGGTACGGCGTGTTGCGCGTCCGCAGCACCTTGGCGACGTGCCGCCGCAGCCGGAACGCGCAGCGCTGCAGCGCCGCCTCGGCCGCCGCAGCCGCGCCCGGGTACGCGTCCCACAGCACGTGCACGGTGCGGCGGTCGTGGCTCAGGCGCACGCGGTGCACCACCAGGCCCAGCCGCTCCACCAGCTGCTCCCGCACGACCGCATCCGCAAGCAGCGCCCCTTCGATTGCCAACTCGAACCGCCCCGACGCGCGCCGATGGCCGATGTTGCCGTCGTCGCGCGAGGGGACGTGGTAAGGCACGCGGTAGTAGGCGCCTGCCTCGTCGATGTCGGCCGTGGAGGAGGTGGCGCCAGGCGCGTCCTCGGCGCCCTCGCCTGCTGGGTGGGCACCGCAAAAGTAAACATGGAATGCTGGCTTCACGCTGCTGGCAACTGGTGACGGATTTGCAACTTGCGCTCACCAGTGCTGGTGCTTCTCTGCCGCGCCGCGGCATGCTGTTGTGAGAAGGTTCGAGCGGCAAGCGCTGCTGCGGCCGACGGAGCAGCGCTTGCTACCGTCGACGCATCTGCCTGCAGCAAGGATCCACGGCTTGCTCTCAGGGCGCTAAGCACCTGAGCAAGCCGCGGTAACAGTGGGGTCAACATGCGCTACCAACTTCGCCGCAGCGGCTTATGGCCAGATCGGTAGCATGCGCAGGTCACCGGAAAAGCGTACAGTAGCTAACATCAACTCGTTGAATTCGCGGTTCTATGCGAATCCGCTGCAGCCCGATTGCGTGTAGCATTTTGCATATTCAAGTGGGCTTTCGGGTGGAGCATCCCCCGCCATTGACCCTTTGGAAGCCTTGGAGCGCGTGCATCTTATCGAGCCCCTTGGGATTGTCTATCAATTGGTCCCAGCTCGTCGCGTCACTTGTCAGGGTGCCCCGTGTGCAGGCGTCGCAGCTGCCCTTGAACAGATCACCTGGCTGCGCACCACCCGCCTGAACCCCCCACAAACGTAGTTACCTGCGACACATAGGCTGATCGATACCGGTGTCGCAACATATGACCGCGAGTGGACTAAAGCGCGGCACTATGAGGGTCCTCACAGCGATCCTGGTGATTCAGGCCGGTGAGACTAAGTGATTATCCGTGTAATCATCCCGTGCATCCCGCACCCTGCTTCGCCTGCCCAGGCAGCATGTGCCAGGCGCTGACGAGGTGACTTTGAGCGCCTCCCCCGCGCGCCGCCCTCGTGCGCCCCGTGGGACGCAGTCCGGAGCCTCCTGCAGCCAGCACATGCAAGCTTACTGGATCGCCGCTTGGTTGACGAGGCGCGGATGGCCAACTGGGGCCCCACTGTGCCCGACGACGGCGAGGTCCCGCGCATCAGGGCCACCCTCTCGGTCAACGTGGACGGCTGGAGCAAGCAGGTGCCAGGCAGCTTCCTGGGCATCTCCCACGAATGGGTGGCCGCGGAGGAACTGGCTGACCCAGATACGCTCCAGCTGCTCAAGGACCTCGCTGCTTACGGCACAGGTGATCCTGCAGGGAAGAAAGGGGACATTGCAGTGTCACTGGGGTGACATTTGCTGGGGTGAGCGCGCAGGGTCACGGCACAGCCGGCCTGCGCCAGCAGGACCGCTTTGCATTGCAGCACGCGCCATCAGCGGGTGAATGTGGAGCTCCGTCTGCGTTTGTGTCACACACGCGCGCACATTCTTGGGTGACACCGCACACCCTAGGTGCCTTGGTGATGCGCATCGGCGGCGGCAGCACCGATCTGCAGAGAACTGTCCCAGGCCCGCGAGTCTGGGCTGCGCTGCGGAAGCTGCACCAAGAAACGGGTGAGCTGGCGGCAGCGACAGGGCAGTCCCAAGCGATAAGCCTTGTGCGACATGGAACGGCGTGCGCGACTGGCACCGAAACCTGACAACAGGGAGCAACCAAAGACCACGGGGTTGCGGTTTAGAAACGAAAGCTGCGCTGCGTCATGGCTTGAGCTCGAAGCCGCTGTTGCAAGACCGATTGTGCTCGTGCACACTAAGACGCTCAGACATGCGTGCTCATGAATAGCTGTTCACACAACACCAAGCTCACCCGCTCACAAACGACACTCCTGCACATCCAGGGGCTGTCTTTATCCTGGGTATCAACTTTTTGGCGGAGGACTTCCAACTCACGCAGCGCCAAATGCAGGCCATTCGCCGCGAGCTGCCCAACGACGCAGTGCTGGCCATTGAATTGGGCAACGAGGTTAGGGGCCGCGCCGGATTGGGGCTGCAGAGACGTGTCCGCCCTGAACTGCGGGTGCTTGGGAAGTCAACCACAGAGCACTGCGCTTGCGGGTCGCTTCCTGCTCGCTGGGCGCTGCACGCAGGGGCCGTGGGAGCCGTGCAGCCTGCTATCGGCCAGGAAGGCTCGGGCGCCACCCCAGGTCGTGGCCGAACGCAGCCTCGCCTGGGGAACCCAGCAGCCCCTGCCACCCAGCCGTCCTCGTTTCCCTCCTCCCTCCCCCCTCCCTCCGCCCTGCGCCAGCCCAACTTCTACCCGAAGAAGCGCAACAAGGACACGGCGGACTACCTGGCCTGCTGCTACGTCAACGACTGGAACGGCTGGGCGGTGCCGCTGTCCTGCCCCGCGGGGTCCGCCAGCTGCTGGACGCAGCAGTTTGCGGGGCCGGCGTGGGGCCACGTTCACATGAGCCCCGAGACGCTGGACTGGTTCCTCAGGTGGGGCCCGCTGCGGAGCGGTCACAGCCACCACCGGGGCCGAGACTGCACGAGGGGGTGCCGTGCAGCCGCTACTGTACTAGTAATTGGGTTGCGCCTTGCTTTGCGTCACGCAAGGCGCGGTGTATGTTTGCGTGTCTGCTTTCACGCGTCCTTGCCCCCCTCCTGCATGTGCACACATCTCTGCATATGCAGCATGCATGCAAGCAAGCGCGTACGCAAGGTTGCATCCACGCGTACCAACTTGCTTTCCAGCCACCCCTCCCCCCACCTCCACCCTTTGTCTGTGACCGAGCCGCTTTCCGACGCGTCTCCCAGGGTGAACATCCGGTGGGTCAGCATGGCCACGGTGCACTGGTACAAGGACCGCGCAGAGACCTTCAACACGGCCAAGTCTCTGCTGGACGAGGCCAAGATGCGGCGCGACGCGACGTCGCTCGCCAAGCTGGTGGAGACGGCCGGCAAGTGAGCGGCGCGCGCGCAGCATCATGCGCCACTGCCGGCCGCGGCTGAGCGTCTCTCGGCGGTTTT